ATTTTTCACTCACACTGAAAGTTACGATCGTTTACTATCGTCCGCCATTTTAGGTGAAAACATTCTTAACCACCGTAAAGTTCGACATCTCTTAATCTCTGTGGCACAAACTACAGTTCTATGAACATATAATACTGTTATGTCTTACTAGAGGATCAACTAATGTCAGCTTACCTGAAAAATATATAATAAAGACAGGGTATGCTGGGAACACTCTCCACTGCATGTACATCATTGCTCACTCATTCCGTACTGAGCGCTCTTTCAATCTATTAGTGTCAGTGACCAATCCACAGCCTAGCGTAACACTGAGGGTGTCCTCATCAGGAAATGTCACAGTAGTCTTATTATTGTCATAACTTTGTCATTACTTAGTTTAAAATTTTTATCTGTATCTTTTAAACTGTCAATAAACACTGAGGGCTACATCTTCAACCACGACTTCTAGAGCACTTCTCCACTGTCACTGTTTAACCAAATCAAATTCCATACGCTTTCAGAGCACTGAAGTGGAGAAATCTTAAATGTAAAAGATTTTGTTGTTCTCAAATCGCAGGTTGTCAGCCATGGACAACTTTTTACTTGCATCAAGAATCCTCTGTCTGTCTCCAAAGTAATGCATGCGCACCACCAGCGGTCTCGGTCTCTCCTTGACACCTGGTCTGGGAGCTAGAGTGAGCCCTTTCAATCTTGATATAGCCTTCCTCTGTCTGCAGTTGAAGAAACTCCGGGATTCATTTCTGGAGGAAAGCCACCGCATTAGAGCCCTCTGCCCCTTCTGGTAAGCCAACAATACGTATATTTTTGAGCCGTGCTCATACTCGTTCACTGGCCAAATCTTTTGCCAGAATTATATGTACTCCATCCACCTGCAAGCAGGAGCGCACACCAACTTTTACTTCTCCCTGGATTAAATCAGAGTGCAGAATAATTTTATGAAGAGGAACTGACACATTTAATCCAATGCCCATGTGTTGTTTCCTGTAGAGGGTGGAAAAGCATTGTTTACAAAAAAGATGGAATTTTCTGTAATCACAATGCATGGCTGAGAGTTTATAGTAAGAGTAAACGAGGAGTTGTTCGCTACATTTCTGGCCTGGTTGTATTTATTTCGACACCACATTTTGGCGACAAGGATGGCTGATTGTACTCTACCTCTGCCGCCGCCCTTCCTCGCTCACCCGGGTGAACCTCCTATACCGTGGCCCCATTGCCCGCAGTCCTTTGAGACATATCTCATCGCAGCCGGCCTCACAGATGTGAGTGTGGCATGGAAATCAGCGACAGTAGCGAAGCCACTTTTGAACAGTTTGTGACGGCCCTGAAGGAACATTTCACCGCTCCACAGAGTGTTTTGCTGCGGCAGTTCATATTCCACCGGCGCCATCAACTCCCCGGTGAGTCTGTGCATCAGTATGTGGCCAATCTGAGAGGGCTAGCGAATTCTTGTAAATTCGGAGGGCTGCACGGTGAAATGATCCGCGACCAGCTGATTGAACACACTAATACCGTATTATTCCGAGTATAAGATGACCCTGAATATAAGACTACCCCCCCCCCCCCTCCCTTTTCAAGATGTAACTTTTGGAAAAAGGCTTTTTGAAGGCAAAATCTTGTCTTTTAAGAAAATACTTTGTTTAAAATCATTTTCATATTGCATATGACATATTGAATATTTAAATTTTTGTATTTAAAGTATGGGAAATACTGGTAAAATGCACCAACAACAATCGCATTCAGTAATAAACACTTTATGGCATAGCTACCATTAAAATTTACTTAAATACATTTCACTATGACTGATTTCTCACCTTTTGTATGTACAGTGTACAGCATGTCAAAAAACACAGGTGTTTGATCCGCATTACCTGATTATCTGATCCAGGGGGGGATATGAATGTTTTTTTCTAAGACCGATCACATAGAGACTGAAAAGACTGGAGTTTCTCCCTGAAGTCGGAGGGAAAGTGCTTATACATTACGCCACATCAAATAAGAAATGATGGGCCTCGCTGGAGGGTAAGTTCAGCTCTTTCAGCTCTAAGTCGACACACAGCCAACTGACATTTATGGAAACAACTCCACCAGTCGAGCAGCCACCCAACCGGGGTGCAGAAGCGGCTGCAGATGCTCCTGACAGATGCTCCCTATGCTAATTGCAGGGTTCTCAAGTCTCACGCATTGGCCGTGAGACACACGCAATTCAACCAGTTCACACGCTCACACGCCACACCGTGTATTTCTCACGCTGAAAAGGCAATGCCAACCAAGTTGTCCTGCAAGCTTTATATATAACGTTGTATACGAGGCACATGCACACAAAGATAAGTTTCCTGCCGCCAGCGCGTCCGCATCTCGGCCAGATTGCGTTCGTTACTATAGGCAACTTATAGACGCGCGAAGTCCGCGAACACACACGGAAGTTCGGCCACCGCGACATCGCGCGAACACACGTCGTGATGGAGAAAGTAAGTTGGAAGAAAGCTCGCCTAACATTTTTAGACTAGAACATTTAATATATAGCCCATCGTATACATTATTGATGCAGTCAAAAACTCTACAACTGCTTTGCAACCAGGCCAAAAGCTTTGTCTCGGTTTGGCTAAGGAAATGTTATTGGGTATGGGAAGGAATGAAGATGTATTTCTTCAGTTTATTTAAAATTCTATATTATACTGTATTAATAGTATTTCTAGTTACATTAAGGCTAAAGCAGAGTGCTCTTGATAATATTGTATATCCTGTCAAAACATACATTAGCCTAATCATTGCCATTGCATTTGTATTTTTCAAAGATGTCAGGGAAAAATGCAAAAATATTTGTTTTTCCAAACATTGGAGCAATTTGTTATATATTTATCGTCTTCAGTAGTCTTTAACCCGGTGGTCCGGGAGGAATCGTTTTTGGGGGTCCCAGTGCCGGTGGATTCCGAGTCCGGTGGTCCGGAGATGGAGGAGGAGAAGAAAGGCCTCCTCAACAACTGGTCCGGTGGTTCCTAACCCAGAGACCATCCCGGAGGTAACTGTCATCCCTGACTCGCCGCCCAGGCGTTTGGCCTTGCCGGCCCCGCCCAAGCTGCTCGCCTTGCCGACCCCGCCCAAGCTGCTCGCCTTGCCGGCCCCGCCCAAGCTGCTCGCCTTGCCGGCCCCGCCCAAGCTGCTCGCCTTGACGGCGCCACTCAAGCGCCCTGCCCTGACGGCGCCACTCAAGCGCCTCGCTCTGACGGCGCCATCCATCAAGCCTGAATCTGTTCAGGTCAGGTCTACGGTTCCAGAGACGGTTCACGTCACGTCTGCCCAGACGGAGTCGGTTCATGTCGTCGCTGCCCAGCCAGAGACTGTTCCAGTTATGTCTGCCCAGTCAGAGATTGTTCACGCCCCGTCTGCCCAGTTAGAGACTGTTCACGTCCTGTCTGTTTGGCCTGAGATGGTTCCTGTTTCTGAGCCGTTGCCTGTTCCTGAACCAATGTTTGTTTCTGTCCCTGTGTTTGTTTCTGTTTTTGTGGCTGTGTCTGTTCTGGTGTCTGTCGCTGATCCGAAGCCTGTACCTGAGCCGGGCTCTGTTCCAAGGCCGGTGCCTGTTCCTGAGCTGGTGTCGATTCCTGAGCCGGCGTCTCCGCCGTGGCCGCCCGAGGGGTTGTCTCCGCCGTGGCCGCCCGATGGACTGTCTGTTTTGTCCTGGCTGTCCGATGGTCTGCCTGCTCATCTTGGCCACCGTGCACAGCCTGGTCCACCTTGATCCTTGCCAGGACTCCTGAAAAGCTTGAGGGTCCTTGGCTTAACCCTCCCGTCCCTCCCTGGTCAAGTTTTTGGACTTTTGTGAATTTTTATTTATTTTTTGCTCCCTGTTTGCTCCCTCACTTTTAATATTTGTTTTGGTTTCGTGTTGTAGTGTTTTTGGGTTGTGTCTATCTGGTGTTCCTGTCTCGTTTTATGTCTCTCTTTAGGAACGGCAGGTGGCGTTCCTTTAGAGGGGAGGTAGTGTCACGGTTCTGTCACTACAGTTCTGGTTATTCTTGGTTTTGTGACAGAGCTGTGACATGCCTGGTCTTGTGTTTATGTTATGGTCTTGTTGGTTGTGAGCACATGGCTATCATGTGATTTCTGTGTGCCATGTGCTCTTGTCGATGTTCTAGCCCCTCCCATCTTGTTACTGGTTTATTTGTCCCACCTGCTTTCCCTCGTTTCCCTCCTTGTTTGCCTTCCTATTTAGTCTCCCTGTGTTTGCTGTCTGGTGCTCGTTTGTTGTTTAATGTTACCTGAGTTTTGAGTTGTGTTTGTTCTGTTCCTGGATTCTGTAATTAGTTCATGAGACCTGTATTTCTTTGTTTTGTTTGTTTGATTTATGTTTTACTTAATTAAACACAACTTCTCCTCTGCACTTGAGTCCTCGCTCCATTTCCCACAACCCACACGTAACATATACTGGGGGGAAAAGATTCAGATTGTTAGCCTAAAATGATTTGAAGAGTGCTTACTCTGTTAAAGCACAGTAAGCCTCTTAAGACAGATCAGTGTATAGTAAGCAGTATTGTTCCATTACACCCTTCATAATCACTTCCACACTTCAGCTACTGCCTGTCTATCTATCTATCAACCTGTCATGTAATGATGTTAATCACATTCAATTATCATAATGTATATTTATTTATTAATTTCTAGACAAGGGCTGTAGACACACCATCTTTACTCTGTAATGTGTGTTTTGGGGTGTGAATCCCATGAAATCAGTATGCAGTGAAAATACAGCCATTGGGATAATCACATTTATTACAGAAACTCATATAATGAAAAACACTGATAATTATGAAAACATTACTGATGTATTAATAGTTGAAGTACGTACTATAGCTGTATATGTGTGTGTTGTCTCAGTGTGTGTGTTCATCATAGCCCAGGTGTAGTGTGATCAGCTGCTCTCCGATCCTCTTTATGCTGAGCTCTGCAAACACACACACACACACACACACACACACACACACACACACACACACACACTCCTCCCGTCTCTCCTGTGCTCCATTTCACACACCTACAGTCACACACACAGGAACAGCAGAGAGGACGCAAAACAAGGTGACACCTTCAGCAGCCATTCAGGCAGGTACATTCACATTTCTGCTTTTCTCTGCTCACATTTTCACTTATTTCACTGTCAAATGAAGATTTGGGCAGTGGATTTAGTCAGAGGTATGACCACAGTATGTGTCGAGACAGGTCAAGTGACTGTAAGTGAGACCGGTACAGTAGCATTTGTCATGATGTCACTCTGAAGGTACAGTAACCTTAATCCTGACCAGAACCTGCACATTTACACTGAACGTATCATGTCAAATATTATATGTAGCAAATAATAATTGCTTTATTTTATTTTTTTACGTCAAGGGTCAGTTTTCACTTTGTATTTTTGTGTCACTGAGCAGCTGCGATTTTTTTTTGTTCAACCCCGTAAATTTCTTTTTACATTTTTGCATCCTGTAATCAGTGTGTTTGCAGGTGTGACATCATCACAGACAGACGCTGTGAGCAGAGTCTAGTCTAATTAGATAAAACTTAGTTCTATCACCAATAACAACACACAAATAAAGATAACTATATTTAATTTAATGCAGTCCATCTATTAATGTCATATTATCCATCCAGCTTATATAGCACTAATAAAATACATGTATCGATAGATGTCAGTAGTGCATGATGCTTGTTAAATTGTAGGTATATGTTTGGTTGTTATCATATAAGGTTAAAGTTAGTTGAGCGCTGGTGTTTTTATAGCTCTGTTAGTTGACGGATTCAGCAGTTCAGTCCCGTATGAACACTTGAAATAGCAGTGCGTGCTGAAGCCAGACAAACCCATGAATCATCTCAGGATGAGCTGTGAGATTTATAAAGTGGAATTGCACGTTAAATTTAAAAGAAAAACAAACCTGATGAAGGGGCATGTGCTCATCTGCAGTCGACAGATGTCATCATATTGCTGAATCTAATACTGTTATAATCTCATAATCCTACATGCTTTTCAGTGATAGAAATGTGTGAATTATTTGCGTAAGCATATGTTTCCTACATAAAAAAGCAATCCAAAGAATTTATTCAATACAAATACATTTGTTGATGTTAATTGTCCACATTCTCTTAACAGGAGTACTGTCAACTCTTTCTCATTCAAACGGTTAAGGCTGTGTTTCCTCAAAGCATCATACGCCTGCATAGATCATAGAAACCACAGGCACCAATGTTCTCTACATATACTTAGGCTTACGATTGCTTTTGGATAAAATAGCTCTGGTCTTGTCGGTCTGTCTATTTCATTTTATGTATTTGTTTATCTTTATAAAAAAATGAAATACTCTTAATTTTCCCTTGAAGGACCGTGTTTTTACTATTCTTTTATGCATTTCTAGAGCCGGATCAGTAAACAGTCTGGTGTTTTTTCGACACAGCTTCATCTGTGACCCCAGAGACTGAGACGTCATGTCAGGGGACGGTAGCCAGGGAGACACGACCCAGAGTAATGGAGTCAAAAATCACAGGTATACCTTTTCTGTCATGGGATTTTGTTTCCCATCTCATTTTAAAATGTCTACTCACTTGACAGTGAATATAAAAGTAGGCTACATCTTGTTTATTTTTTGTTAAAAAACGATTACATTTTTTTGCATATTAGTATTGTTGTTGCTGCTGTCCATGCAGTTAAAACCTTATGTAATCAAGTGAAGTCCATTTTATTTGTTTAGCTGAGTGAAACAATACGCCATTAACTAGCTACATAAAGCATACGGCCTATAATTATGGTCACATTATGAGTCGGTTATAACCATAGAAGACCTAATACAGAGCCTTGTGGCACTCCATAATCTTATGCTTGTGTTAGGTTTGACAATACCTGATTTGCACAAACAAAGTGTTTGTGAAACAAAATATTGGAAGTATCTAAACATTTCTCCAGCCAGTTTAAGGGAATGCCATGATCCATGTGACCTAAATCCTTGGTTGTACAATTGGTTTTCTAGTATCTAGTAGTCTTCAGCCTTTATCAGGTTCAGGTTAGTGAAATGAGCGATGGAGCAATAACATTTACATTTATTCATAGTCATGTAGGTCAACGTCATCGCATAGCCTTATATTTGATATGGCAGCCAATGAAGTGAACGAGGAACATTTATAGTTTAGGTTCCACTTTACATTAAGTGTCTTTAACTACTATATAATTAATAATCGTTTGATACAATGCAATTTTTGTGTATATACATGTTTTTACATTGTACTTATATTTTAAAAAACCTTGCATTTTTAATTACAGCTGTATTAATATAAATTAATTTTAAAGTAAATTAACATCTATAATTACACTGTTGTAAACCTTATCCCTTAACCCACCCTTAAACCTACCCATACCACCATACCTGTCCTTAACCTATCCCGTATACACCTTAATAGCAGCACTTTCAAAGTGTTTTGCAATACAACACAATAAGTACATTGTACCTAAAACATTTTTTGTGTAAATTCATAATAGTTAAAGACACCTATAAAGTGTGACCCAATATTAATATTAATTAATTTATAAACTTTATTTTGTGATGCTTACAAGCAACTGTCAATATGATGTATTCCCAAGAGCAAATGTGCCACAAAAATAAATGCAATGCTTACAGATAACAGCAAATGGTTCTCCTTCAAACCAAATGTCAAACCGTCCCTCCGTAACTGTCCTTTTGTACTCGTTGATTCTGCTTTGGTCTATTTTCATTGAAGACCTTCCACTGCATGAAAAGTGGGATTTTCGTCTCGTAAACGGTCGGAAATCTCCCTAATTTTCGTCAGTTAATGACAATTTACAGCCTGCGAACGTCGCATTCGCCTGTGCCACATACTGACGGAAACGTACCATATGACGTATGTGGAGAGCTAGCGGAGGTGCTAATGGCTCTAATTAGCATATGAATAGCAGCGCCCGCGCGTGCCTTGCCAGAGAATGGCTTGAATTACCTCACTCAGTATTGGTTGAAACCACTACATTTAAACAAGAAAAATCACTCGTGATTGGTTGGCAGATCTGTTGCTATTGGTCACCCTGCCTCATTATAAATGTAAACCCCAAAATTGTAATAATAATACATTTACATACTAAATTATGTATATATTCATATATATATATATATATTCATATGATATGCTATTAAATTATGTATTCATATATAGTCATATCTATTATGTTGTATTATATTCATATACAATTACCATCTATTATTACCATCAAGAAAAAAATATTTTGCCAGAGACATGCTGTTCATTCAAAGAAAGAGCTTTATTAACACAAACAAATAACTATATGTACAAAGCGTAGGAGATCCACCCACACAACAAATTGGAAGCTTCGCGGCTGCAAAATTTGGTCCATTTAGCAGACGTCTGTGGTGCGTATCCCTGTACTTTGGAATCGCCTCTAATCTCGACTTCAGCGTGGCACAGAGCTCTGTGAGCTCCTGGCTGCGAAAGGACGGAGGTCACACAATCCACACCCCGCCAACGATGCCATCTTCCTCATCAGACATCATGTGGTAGCGCGCTTCCAAAGGCTCACCTCATCCTCAGCTAGCACACTGTCTCGCTTCTAACAGCTGTAAACACAACCAAAGACAATCAGTACAGCACTGCGTATGACCACAACACATCTATTAATTCACCTGAAAAATAGTCACATTGTCCAAAAACAGATCGTATCAAATAAATCTTACCTTCTTCCAGGGGCGGAGCGGGGGGGTGGCTAATTGGGCTTAAGCCCCGAATGTTTTGTCAAAAGCCCCGAATCTTTTAGGTTTTTTAAAATGACTTCAACTTTGTTTAATTTCCTCTCAGTCTTTCTGACTGGAGCGGCAAAAAATGAAACAAAAGCTCTACCACCGTGCGTGGTGGCGGACGGTAATGCATTGCATCGCGCATCACTCAGCTTGTATGCCAACTGCCAATAAAAACTAACGAAGAAGAATATAAATCGTCTTCTTCGTCGTCGTTGTCATCAGGGGCTTGCCGTTGGCGGGCTGTTGTATGTTTCACCCATGGTTTCACCAGAGAAAGTCTAATATGGGCTTTGGTTTCACCGTGACCGTCGTCGTAGCGAGCTCACTGTCTCAGTCACGGCACATGTTTGCAGTCAGTTGCCTATATACTGGAAATTATTTATGTCAAAATTTGATGAAAGTGATGCTTTTGAAAACATATCTTTGACAATAAATGAAAGATTTTTAAAATGGCATGTCTATTTTGTCTCTGCGGAGCTGAGATGGGAACAATCGGAACACGGCCGTATTCTTGTGCATGCGCATCTAGGTGACACGGATAAATGTGCGCAGCAATAATTAATGTTCCTGCGAGATTGTTGCGCGGGATGTAGTAGCGCGCAAAAGTTCCAGAAATGTACAAAAAAGTGCCCTGGCCTTGAATGACAAGGTAAGGAAAATAAGACTAAATCAAAATTAAATAACCAAGACTAGGTTGTCCTTGTGATTTTTCTCAATAGATGTTTTGAGCATTTTACTCATATTTACTTCAGACACCGGATTATCAGCAAACTGCCAAGAGAACGGCTAGCTGGCTACTCAAAATAAACTAGCAATCTATTCAGTCAGCATATTTGTGTTTGATCTGTGTGAATTACAGAAATATAAGACTTGCTAGACCAAGACTCGCAGTCGCAGAGTAGGCTGTGTGTATGTGTGTGTGTGTGTGTATCTCTCTTCATGTGGCACATTATGTTTGGCACATTGTATGGGTCACTATATAACAAGGTAATACAATGTGTAATCAAGTGATGACTGATTAACAGTAATGTAAACGCTAAATCTTCTACAACAATGCAAAGTATATGCTCTTAACCTTACAGTTTTTCACATTTCATGTAATACTCAATTTATCAATTTCTTTGCACAAAACTCTCCAGAAAGTGCCTTTTAATGGTTTATTTTTCAAAAAAAATTCCCGGGGGGCCATACCCCTGTACACCCCTAGGGAGAGCACCCCCACATAATAAAAATAGATGCCCCTGGTTTGGGCTAAGCCCCGAATGTTTACATCGTCTGGCTCCGCCCCTGCCCTCTTCCCTCTTAATTCTCGCTCGACTCCGAGCTGAACTCTTCACAGCTTCCGCCTGCGATGCAAGATCTGGCTGCTTGTACCTGAAGCTCCTGCGCACTGTCTCGTAATATGTTTTACAGGCAGCTGGAAAACAAGTAAATGAGAGTGATATGAATAAACAACATAAGTCACTGTAAAATTACACAATAAAGGAGAAAATAGTAAAAGTTACTTACACACAATGTCGTCATTATCATCAGCATGTTTCTGGACTTGCAGACATAGCTCCGAGCAAATGAGGTCACGGCCTCGTTATGAGGTGAGGTTAGTCTGAGAAAACAAAATGTACGGTTAAGATCGGTAACATAGGCCTATCTATTAAAGGATCTATTTCCTTATACAGGAGAATTAAAGTATTTTTAATCTTACCATTGCTCCGGTTCGTAGCACCTACAATTTTTCTCAGAATTGTGAAGACGGCGTAACGTTACTGTTTCCTGTAAATTACAAGACCAAAAAATACACTTTTATAAAGCAACTTACACTTGTTCTTTTGCAAGCCTACTTTTAGCTTGTGCTACTTAACAAATCTTAGTTTAGATAGCGGTCTTACCGCAATCTTAGGATTGTGCACCCGTCCTCTCTTCCTAGAGTTTTTCGATTCCAAAGCAACCTACAATTTACTAAAGTAAACTGCTCATTTACATCGTCAGCGAACTGAGTATGTTATGGTGCGTTCACGTGCTATGGTAATTATGGTAAATACCAAAAGCCGACATGGAAAATGCACATGAACACCCCCTCATGTGGTATTTTCCACTGGGCAACTCGTAGAATATTTTGATGCACGAGTTGCCGAGATGAGATTACCTTTGACCTTTTCAAAATGGCAGAGAGCAACGCAAGAGTTGTGAATGGTAAAAATATGTACTATTCATGATCTAGAAAATATACAGCATATATTATTTACGTTTGAGTTTTGATAAATCATTTTCTTGCTGTAGCAGATGACTTAAGCAATCTAAAATAGTTTTAGCTAAATAACAGGTCTGGATCTCCATCTTTTTACCACATTACGACAACAAAAGCACTTGAACGCAACACACTGGTAAATACCAGTTCACAAGTGGAAAATATCATATTTTCCATAGCACGTGAACGCACCATTAAGCTGACGAGACAGTCCACTGATAGCATTAAACAGTTTCAGCTGCGTCCATGTCATCAGGTGGAAAGCACTAATTGAAATGGGGGTGTTTTCAGAGCACCCCTGTTTCACAGGTAACAGTCTGTCTTCAGAACACCCCCTTGTTTTCCCTTCTTTTGGATTAGCCCGAGACAAACTGAAGAAAGTAGGCTACTAGAAGGTTTGCTGATTATTATTTATTTAATTGTAGAGCGTTTAATTCATAGCCAGTCCTCTTCTACCATGTCAACAAAGAAATCGGCAGTGTGGCAGCATTTAAAAAAAGTTAATAGTCTATTCGTGTCTCAGCCGCGAAGCTGAGCTCCTGAAAAAATGGTCTATTATGTTCCATATTCCTCAACAGTTCTTGTGATGATATCACTAGTTGACAACAGTACTATTTTCGGAAATCATAGGCTAAGATATTGCGCAGGTGCACGTGATGCAACGCTGTCCGAGCCGTCAGACTCGTGTGTTTATTTATAATTAATGTAGGCGGACAACAAGGTGCACAGCTAATTCACTTAACGTTTTGTTTTTTCCTAAATTCATTTTTAGTCTACCAGTCGACCAAGATATTATGTGGTCGATTACAGCCCTAATACTTTCATTAAATATATAAATTTCAAGCTAAAATGTAAGTGTCTATAATTAGGCTATACTGAGCCTGATGTATTTACACCAGAGATTTTCTTAGAATGAAGTTAATACATTTTAGAAAAATGTCACCTGGTGTAAAACTCCCCTTGCTACCCTCATTTGCATTTGTATAGCTCACAGCTTTTTCATTTACATGTTAAAGCCTCCCCTAGAATTAGGAGGAGGGGGGTCATGGGGGGACAACTGCCGAGCAAGGCCCACGTCAATTTCCGACAATTCACGGCAGTTTTCAGTGTTGCCTGTAAATTGCCGTGTACTGTCGTAAACCTGAACTTCCACGACAATCTACAGTGACGCTTACTGATGAAAATCCCACTTTTCATGCAGTGTTCTGTAAAGTTACTCAAAGTGAACTTGTGGACCTGTTGTGTATAAGCAGTATCACACCTGCGATCGTAGTATTGATTGACAACAGCACTTTTGCTCATGTAATATTGCTTAAATAAATTGCATTTAGTGTCCCCCCAAATTCTGAAATTTGTTTCATTATCCGTTTTGCAATAGGTCGGCTCTTCCCGCTGCTATGTTCTCTCGAAACAATGCCAGTATGTGGAGCATTCTCAAAAAATGCATCGGGATGGTAAGTCAAATTCATTTTACACATACTGTATTAGTGTTTCTTCAACTTCAGGCACTTTATGTTCAAAATTTTTTATTGTAATCTGAAATTATTTTTGAATGTTTGTTTGTATTGTAAGGTTTGCATGATGTTTTTTTGCCAGATTAATTCTAATTCAGCCTGTTAATCATTTATTCTCTTCACAGGAACTGTCGAAAATCACAATGCCAGTGATTTTTAATGAGCCTTTGAGTTTTCTCCAGAGATTGACTGAGTACATGGAACACACATACCTCATCCAGAAGGCCAACGCTTCACAAGACTCGATCCACAGAATGAAGGTAACTCTATATTAGATTTTTTTTTAGGCCAAATACCCCTTGGTGAAGAGAAAAATAGGGCAGGGACCTATTGAGTAAAACAGAGCTTTGCGTTTTAGTATCGGGTAGCCAGAGCTTCAGACTGTCACGATCGCTAGCGGAGAATTGGGTGGATCCAAAAGCAGCAACATGATAGTCAGGGCAATCCAAATCATCGTCATCCATGCAAGAGTCGTAATCCAAATAGTCAGAATCATACTCATCCGTGCCAGTGTCGAAAACCATTTTAATCCGTCCGAATAACAAATAAATAAAACAAGCAAGAACAAACGAGAAACAGACTTGAAACAGACCTTGGCGTTGACGAGTGACATACAATACAATGACTCCGTGACATGAACTAACACAGACAGGGTATTTATGCACAGACAGTAACAACATAAATGGGAACAGCTGGGTGCAATCACAAGTGATGGGAACAAACAAGGATTATGGGAAATGTGGTTCTAGAGTGAATGGATACAGGAAGGAAGGGACCTCTAGTGGACACCCAGTGAAAACACAACCAGACACTGTGACATAACCCCCCCTCTACGGAGCGGCTACCAGACGCTCCACGACAGAAAACAACACTCGAAAAAACAAGTCCATGAGGGAGGTGGAGCTGTGGGGAATCAGGGGGAAGGACGGAGGGCCAGGACCATGGGAGGGAATGGAACCAGGGGATGACAGTTCATCGGGCGGCCTGGGCAGAGACGACCCTTCAGGCGACCTGGGCGGGACAGGTAGTTCATCGGGCGGTGACGACCCTTCAGGTGGCCAGGGCGGAGCAGGGAGCAGGGTTCGTACAGACTCCTGAGGAAGTCCATCGGGCGGCCAGGGTGGTGAAGACCCCTCGGGTGGCCAGGGCGGTGAAGACCCCTCGGGCGGCCAGGGCGGTGAAGACCCCTCGGGCGGCCAGGGCGGTGAAGACCCCTCGGGCGGCCAGGGCGGTGAAGACCCCTCGGGCGGCCATGGCGGTGGAACAGGAACAGACCCTGGCTCAGGAACAGGCACAGACACCGGCTCAGGCACAGGAACAGACACCGGCTCAGGCTCAGGCTCAGGAACAGACACCGGCTCAGGCTCAGGAACAGACACCGGCTCAGGCTCAGGAACAGACACCGGCTCAGGCTCAGGCTCAGGAACAGACACCGGCTCAGGCTCAGGCTCAGGAACAGACACCGGCTCAGGCTCAGGCTCAGGAACAGACACCGGCTCAGGCTCAGGCTCAGGAACAGACACCGGCTCAGGCTCAGGAACAGCCACAAGAACTGTAACAGTCACAAGAACAGACACAAACACAGAAACGAACACTGGCTCTGGAACAGGCACTGGCTCTGGAACGGACATTGGCTCCAGCTCTGGAACATGCACTGGCTCTGCCTCCGGCTCTGGAACAGCAGACACTGGCTCCGGCTCTGGAACAGACACTGGCATCAGCCCTGGAACAGACACTGGCTCCGGCCCTGGAACAGTCTCTGACTGGGCAGACGGAACGTGAACAGTCTCTGACTGGGCAGACAGAACGTGAACAGTCTCTGACTGGGCAGACGTGACGTGGACAATCTCTGACTGGGCAGACGCAGGTCTCCTTCTCCTCCTCCGTTTCAGGACCACCTTACTCGGGACCACCGGGACTGGGATCACCGGACTAGGGACCACCGGGACAGTCACGGAGGAGGTCTTTCTTCTCCTCCGTCGTCCCTTCTGGCGAGGTGCTGGTTCAGGACGGGACAGGACCCGCGGCGAAGGGTGTTCTGGGCTGCGCGTCACCGGATCATGGTCGAAGGAAGACCGAAGTAGAGACTGAGTCCGGGACTCCCCTCTAGTACTTCCTCCTCTGCGAGCTCCACGGGTCCCCGAAAATCTGGCCAGACGCTCTCCTCTAAAGGACTCTCTGTCGTCGAACGAAAAGTCTTTAGGAAATCTGAGCGTCATGGCCTCCTCCCTTTGCCGAGCCACAAAAGCAAACGCCTGCAAAATGTTCATGCTGCTGGACCCATTTGAGGACGGAGTCATTCTGTCACGATCGCTAGCGGAGAATTGGGTGGATCCAAAAGCAGCAACATGATAGTCAGGGCAATCCAAATCATCGTCATCCATGCAAGAGTCGTAATCCAAATAGTCAGAATCATACTCATCCGTGCAAGTGTCGAAAACCATTTTAATCCGTCCGAATAACAAATAAATAAAACAAGCAAGAACAAACGAGAAACAGACCTTGGCGTTGACGAGTGACATACAATACAATGACTCCGTGACATGAACTAACACAGACAGGGTATTTATGCACAGACACTAACAACATAAATGGGAACAGCTGGGTGCAATCACAAGTGATGGGAACAAACAAGGATTATGGGAAATGTGGTTCTAGAGTGAATGGATACAGGAAGGAAGGGACCTCTAGTGGACACCCAGTGAAAACACAACCAGACACTGTGACACAGACTGACCACAGAAGGTCTGGACTCCATCGCAGCTTTTATTGGCTAAGGACCGCCTAGGGCCGTCTAACTGACATGTAAAGCAACCAATCACAGTTCGTTTTGTTCCTCATCATGTTAAAAGCCCCCTGAAATCAAAATTTAAGTTTTTTAGCTTTTAGTATGAATATGTTAGCCTTAAGGTTATGAATAAGCTGGTGTGTTCCAAAACAATTATTATAAGTGAAATATTTAAGTCCCTTTCAATAACTGTTGTGGGGTGTTATAGACCTCCATCGGCCTCCAGGGAGGCTTTATCATCTTTAAAGCTTCTTTTGTCCAGACTAAACTATAGTGAACTTTTATTGGCCGGGGACTTAAATTGGGACTGGGTAAATGTTGTTTCTGATGATTTGAAATCTTTCTGTGATTCTATCAGTCTTAGCCAGTTGGTAAATGTACCTACAAGGCCTAATCTCAAAAATCCTGACAAATCTACTTTAATTGACTTGATTCTAACAAATGTCCCTCATAAATTTTTATCTATGGGTGTCTTTTGTAATGATCTGAGTGATCATTGTGTTATTGCTACTTTGAGAGGCGGTAAAATACCCAAATGTAAATCGCAAATTATTAGAAAGAGGAATTTGAAAAATTTTAATGAACAAGCCTATCATCATGATTTATCTTTGATTAACTGGGGACAGCTAGGCCTGTTGCCTGATGTTGAACTTGCCTGGACACTTTTTAAGGAAAATTTTGAGAAAATTGTAAATAAACATGCTCCTTGGACAAAGCACAGAGTGAAGGGACGGGAAAACCCTTGGTTTTCTCCAGAGTTGTCAGACATTATCCATCAGCGAAATGTGGCTTGGGCTAAAGCTAGAAATGGTGATTCTGCCACTGACTGGTCCATTTTCAGACAACTAAGAAATAAATGTACCTCTCTTATTAAAAAGGCTAAATCAGAATATTATTTATCAGTCACAAGTGAAAATCTCAATAATCCACAGAAATTTTGGAAAGTTATCAAGTCTCTATCTGTGAATAAAAGTAATGAAGCCCTCCCAAAATTTGTCTTAAACTCTCTCCCAGTCTACGACAGAGTTGATGTCTTAAATTGCTATAATGAGCATTTTGTATCAGTTGGTTCTCTGTCCGAGATGACAGGAGTAGTCGCTGTCACTCCATGCACATACACCCCAGTGTTTTCTGGAGAGCCTTTTAATTTTGTTTATTTTACTGTGCAGCAGGTGCATGGAGCTCTTAAAGCGTTAGATCACAGAAAACCTCCTGGACCAGATTTAATAGAGCCTTATTTTTTGAAAAAGGCGGCTGATTTTGTTGCTGAGCCCCTTACAATTCTTTTTAATTTGTCAATTCAAAACAATGACATACCATCAGTTTGGAAGTCAGCTTATGTTATTCCTTTGTTTAAAGGAGGTGATCCAGCAGTTTTAACTAATTATCGGCCTATATCTAATCTATGTGTTTTGTCAAAAATTTTAGAATCCCTTGTTTCAGACCAAATAAAAGAGTTTTTATACTCAAATGAACTTCTTTCTAAACTACAATCAGGCTTCAGGAAAAAGCACAGTACCATCACTGCTGTTACAAAAGTAATTAATGACATACTTGTCGCCCTTGATAGAAAGCAATTCTGTGCATCACTTTTTCTTGATCTGTCGAAAGCTTTTGACACAGTGGACCATGCTGTTTTAAAGCATAGGCTACTTTGTCTGGGATTGTCTGATTGTGCAGTTTCCTGGTTCATTAATTATCTGAATGACAGGACTCAGTGTATTAAATGTGATGGTCTATGTTCTGCATTAGTGAAGGTCCACAAGGGGGTGCCACAAGGCTCAATATTGGGTCCTCTCTTGTTTATTATGTATATAAATGAACTGGGCCACAATGTGTCGGATGCTAATATGCATTTCTATGCTGATGACACGATTATTTATTGTTTTGGATCGTCCCCAACTAAAGCGGTTGCGTCTTTGCAGAAAGCTTTTAATGTGGTTCAACACACGCTTATGCAGCTTAAACTGGTTCTCAATGCTGATAAGAGCAAACTGATGCTGTTTAGTAATACTAAGAAGGTTTCTAAAGTTCCTCCTTCTGTGTTCACTTTGACTGGAAGTGTCATAGAGGTGGTTCATTCTTATAAATACCTTGGCATTTGGCTTGATGATGCTCTCACTTTTAAACCTCATATAGATAACCTTGTGAAGAAACTCAAACTTAAGCTGTCTTTTTTCTTTCGAAATAAATTTTGTTTTTCTTTTAAAGCAAAAAAGCAGCTAATCTCTGCAACATTTTTATCTGTCATAGATTATAGTGACCTGGTATATAGGACTGCTTCAGTACAATGTCTGCATAAGATTGACACTGTTTATCATGCGTCTCTGAGATTTATTACGAATTGTAAAACTTTGACCCATCATTGTGAATTATATTCCAGAGTGGGATGGCCATCGTTGTCCAACAGGAGATCAAGGCATTGGCATATTTTTATCTATAAGGCCATGCTTGGTCTGTTGCCATCCTACA